GGTAATATTTTGTTTTGCCAAAAATCTGTTTCTGGTAATATTTAATATAATGTATTGCTGGCAATAATTTTTTTCGAAAAAGTATTGCTGGTAATAGTTAACTATTTGCCCATAGCTGGGACCCTAACAGGTGCTACCACCCCTGGTCAGAATGGACCTGGGAACACCAGCAATTAAGAGGTGATTCCACACTCCTTAAAACCTCCTGATCAGAGGCCTTGCTGCTGGATGTAGCTTATCGTCTTATCCAGGATGTGAATGTAGTTTAACGTCTTACCCAGGACGGCAACTACAATTTTGATCTAAAGAATGCCACACTTATTAAAAGAGAAAGTAACTTATTTAGATGGAAAATTCTTGAAAGTACTGCTATCAAATCTTATCAAAATATAAATCTGTTCCCTGAATTATTTTAAACATCTTCCTTCCCGAAAGAATTACTCCTTTTCCGAGCTAACATACATGACTATAAAAATGTCAAAAGAAAACAGTTAAATTCCTAACCTCCATTTATTTAAAATATATAAGATAGAAATTAATCCCAAACTAATTTAAATATTAATTTCATAAAAATATTCGACATCATTATTTACTCCCTTTCATTATTAGACAATAAATTACGTTATGAAATGGACAAAGTCCTACAATTATTTAAGACATTTTAAAAAAATTTTTATAAAAAGAACGTATAAACATTAAATTACATCACTTAGCAGCCTCCATAGTTTATCTCAAATTTTTAGTTGACCTGATGAATATTTATGAAAATCTTTTAAATTTAAAAATTTTGAAAAACATTTTTACTTTCGTTTTTAAATACTTGTTACAAAATAAAATCCTTACATTTGACTTGATAAAGTCCCTCAGCGGACAAAACATGTCAGCTAAGACAAGTTTTCCTTTTGTCTTTATTCATATTGTCCTTTTACAAAGATATATTTTAGTTATATCTGAAATTTTATACACATACAAATACACACACACACACACACACACACACACACACACATATATATATATATATATATATATATATATATATATATATATATATATATATACATTAGGGTTTGTCTGACAATTACAAAAGCATGAAACCCAGAGTCACAAACTCACATCAATCCAACTAAATATATTAGCTCTATCACTGATATTGAGTGCTTTCCAATAAGTACCATGCATATATAATATATATATAATACATATAAAATTATACACACACCCAGACACACACACACACACACACACACACACACACACACACACACACATATATATATATATATATATATATATATATATATGCATATTATACATATGTATACATTATATAGATTATCAATGTAATTGCCGAAAAAACATGTCTACAGCTGCAACATTTTAAATGACTGTAACTTACGTCATATGCATTTTAATAGATACACAAGTATACATATGTGCATTTAATACACGCATACATACACTGAGTACATACATTGCTGTGTACATTGCACTCACCTATAATTGCACTGGAGACATTTAATTATGACTTTTAAATGTACATTTCGCAAGTGCATTTTCTTATCAACTTATATATTTAAATCTGACGTGATTCAGTTTGACTAATAGTAGTTGTAGAGGTAAAGTTTTTTTTTGTTTTTTTTTTTTAACTGCCAAGCAGGTAATTCCAGCAGATTGTAAAGAGCAATCAGCTTTGGTCATGTGTCCCACCATTAAAATTGTCTTGTGAACTCACAACTTCTAATTATAGAGTTCACTTGACTTTTCTCTGGCCAGCGAAGATTACAAAGAGGGAAAGAATCAGAAAAGCCGTTATTTAGACGGTAAAAAAGGTACATAAAGAGTGAGAGGAAGAAAGAGGGAGGGAATCCGAAAACATTGATATACAGTAGGAAGGAGAGGAGGAGAGAGAGAAAGACAGAAAGAGAAGGAGTTATAGTGCATCTGAGAGAGAGAGAGAGAGAGAGAGGAAGAAAGAAGGAGGAATCCGAAACATTGATATACAGTAGGAAGGAGAGAGAGGGAGAGAGAGGGAGAGAGAGAGAAAAAGAGTTAATCTGGAGGAGTTAGAGAGTATCTGAGTGAGAGAGAGAGAGAGAGAGAGAGAGAGAGACAGGAAGAAAGAAGGAGGGAATCCGAAAACATTGATATACAGTAGGAAGGAGAGAGAGAGACAGAAAGAAAAGGAGTTATAGTGTATCTGAGTGAGAGAGAGAGAGAGAGAGAGAGGAAGAAAGAAGGAGGGAATCCGAAAACATTGATATACAGTAGGAAGGAGAGAGAGGGAGAGAGAGAAAGACAGAAAGAGAAGGAGTTATAGTGTATCTGAGAGAGAGAGAGAGAGAGAGAGAGAGAGAGAGAGAGAGAGAGAGGAAGAAAGAAGGAGGGAATCCGAAAACATTGATATACAGTAGGAAGGAGAGAGAGAGACAGAAAGAAAAGGAGTTATAGTGCATCTGAGAGAGAGAGAGAGAGGAAGAAAGAAGGAATTAAGAAACATTTTTTATAGCAAGAGGATGAGAGATAGAAAGAGAGAGAGAGAGAGAGAAAAGGAATCAAGTTATGATAGAGTAAGCGTGTATCTAAGAAAGAGTGAAGTAGAGAGAAAGAGAGAATGAACCAAGAAACTGTTGCATGGAAAGAGGGAAAGATTAAGAAAATAAGAGTAGAGAAATCAAGTAAGAGTGTGTCTGAGAAAGACAAAAGGCGAGAGAAAGAGGGTGAGAGAATGAATTAAGAAACTGTTACACAGAAAGAGAGAAAGAGTAAAAGACAATGAGAGGAGATATCACATTATAATACAGTAAGAGTGTGTCTGAGAAATAGAGCAAGGGAGAAAGTATCATGAAACACTGTTTTACAATAAAAGGGAAAGTGAGATAAAGACAGAGAGAGAGAAGGAGTTATAGTGTGTCTAAGAGAGTGGAAAAGAAAAGGATTTAAGAAACATTTATAGTAAGAGGGAGAGAGAAAGAATCAAGTTATGATACAATAAGAGTGTGTTTGAGTAAGAGACAGAGAGAGAGAGAAAAAGAGAACAAATCAAGAAACATTGTTATGGAGTAAGAGGGAAGGAGAACAACACAGAGAGAGAAGTAATCAAGAAATGTTATGTATAAGGAGAGAAAGAGAGAGAGAGAGTGGGGAAAGAGGGAATTAAGAAACATTGTTTTACAGCTGGAGAGAGAAAGAGAGAGAGAGAGAGACAGAGTGGGGAAAGAAGGAATTAAGAAACATTGTTTTACAGCTGGAGAGAGAAAGAGAGAGAGAGAGAGAGTGGGGAAAGAGGGAATTAAGAAACATTGTTTTACCTGGAGAGAGGGGGAAGAGAAGAGATTAAGAAACATTGTTTTACAGCTGGAGAGAGAAAGAGAGAGAGAGAGAGAGTGGGGAAAGAGGGAATTAAGAAACATTGTTTTACACCTGGAGAGAGAAAGAGAGAGAGAGAGTGGGGAAAGAGGGAATTAATAAACATTGTTTTACAGCTGGAGAGAGAAAGAGAGAGAGAGAGTGGGGAAAGAGGGAATTAATAGACATTGTTTTACAGCTGGAGAGAGAAAGAGAGTGGGGAAAGAGGGAATTAATAAAAATTTTTTACAGCTGGAGAGAGAAAGAGAAAGAGAAAGAGAGTGAGAGAGAGGGAGAGAGAGAGAGACAAAGAAAGACTGAGAGAAGGCGTTATATTGTAAAGATGTGCCCAAGAGAGGGAGAGATACCGAGAGGTAGACAGAATCAAGGAATATTGTTATTTACATAATAAAGAGGGAATGTAAGATAGAGAGACAATAAATTAATAAAAAAAAAAGATTATTCATTTCACCCCAAACAAGGTAATAATGCCACTAAAATGCCAGCGATTGTCACAAGTGAAAGAGAATGAGAAGACTAGTGAGGAGAAAAGACAATAAAAAAATAGCTTTCAAGAGATAGCAGGAGCACCAGACCAGCTATAGCAGCAATGTTCAATGCTTGGACACATGATAGATTTATAAATGAACAAGATTTACACAGAAAAGAGAGAAAATTATATATGATAATCTTATTGGTAATATTAGCTGTTTCCTTATGAGAAAACATTTGGCATTCATTGTAATGAATAACAATTTTGTTATGTGTAAACATTCAGCATTCCTCAACCGAGCAGCAAGTGTGACTGTCATCTGAAATTAATAAGATCTTTTCACTTAAAACAGTTTTTTAAACAATTTTAAAACAGTTTTTAAACAGTTTTTAAAACAGTTTTTACAGGCTCTTCTCAAGTTTAGTAATTATTATTATTCTTTCCGATATTTCTTTCTCACCTTTTGTTTGACGTAGTGTGGAATGTCAACATCTTGATTATGTCATTATTTTCTCTTCAAGTTACATGTTCTATCCATTTCTTCTATGAAAACAATTTCCCAGGAAAATAGGTTTCACAAGTCCAGTAGCTGTTATTGCTCTTTCGAGTGTTGATGAAGGTTTCCTTCCTAACCTTTTGTTTGAAGTAGTGTAGAACGTCAACATCTTGATTGTGTCATTATTTTCTCTTCGATTTATATGTGATATCCATTTCTTCTATGAAAACAATTTCCCAGGAAAATAGGTTTCACAAGTCCAGTAGCTGTTATTGCTCTTTCGAGTGTTGATGAAGGCTTTCTTCCTAACCTTATGTTTGATGTAGAGTGGAATGTTAACATCTTGATTCTGTTATTATTTTCTCTTCTAGTTACATGTTCTATCTATTTCTTCTATCAAAACGATTTTTCAGGAAAATAAGTTTCTCAAGTTCAGTAACTATTGTTGCTATTTCCAATACTGATAGAGGTTTCCTTCCCAACCTTTTGTTTGAAGTAATGTGAAATATGAACGTCTTAATTATGTCATTATTTTCTTTTCAAGTTACATGTACTATGAATTTTAATTGTTGCAAGTTGTAAATGGATGTGGTTGCTGTTATTTGGTACAGTTCTTTTGTTTGTGAATCTGTAGCACCAAATCTGTAATGTTTGAAAATGTACCTCACTAAGACCTACAGACTTTATTTGCTCAAAGCCATTTTTAACCATTGACCTAAGAAAGTGGTTGTATACAACTGGCAGTTTATATATTTCTGAACTAGTTTGGGTTCATGCCTGACATCCATATGAAAGGTCTGAATCCGACAAAGCTAGTTAAGAATATGATTTGTGGTTTTAGGTCAATGTTTTGTTTTTATAGCAATTTGCAGTGTTGGACAAAACTAACACAAGTGCAGCTTATTCTCTTTTTCAATTTCAATGCCAGACCAATACGCCAAAGGTATCTGAAATGTTCGGTATTTACTAATTCCACATCCTAAGTTTTATGATGGATTCAGGTAGATGCCATCGCTGATTTCATTCTAATTTAAGATCATAATTTGTTTTGGAAAGGTTTCTCTTGAGTCCTATTTCTTGGAATGCTTGGTAGAGGATTTTTTTTTTTTTGTTCAAGATCATTCTTATCCTAACTCTGAATACCTGTATCATCAGATATACCCCACAACCTCTGTACATTAGCTTCAGGAAGTGTGCAGTTTAAATTTTTAGTAAATTGTAATTGACAGGAATGCAAGGTAGAGAAGAGTTCTAACAATATATGATATATAACAATATGACTTGAGGTTTTAGGTCAATGTTTTGTTTTAATAGCAATTTGCAGTGTTGGGTGAAACTACTCACACACACACACACACACATATATATATATATATATATATATATATATATATATATATATATTGCTCCATATGTGATTTTTTTTAAATCACTTTCAAAGGTCTTAAATGCCACTTAAGATTATTGCACAAAATTTCATAACTGAATCAATAAGCTGTCAGATCCTCATACATCAAAACCAATGAGAGAGTCCATTATATATATATATATATATATATATATATATATATATATATATATATATTTTGTTTTGACGTATGAGGATCTGACAGCTTATTGATTCAGTTATAAATTTTCATATATGATAATATATATATATATATATATATATATATATGTAAAATCTGTAGGTAAGTAATCCAAGTAAATATTATTAATATAAACTATTAAAATTGATCCACAAAATAGAGCTCAATATATATATTATAGAGCATAGAAATGAATTACATAAAAATGAAACTCAATAGTATCCCGTTTTTATGGCTATTTCACTCCTTGGGATATTTGTCAATAGTAGAACGTTTAAAAAAAAAAATTATCCCAAGGAGCAAAATGGTTGACTGTAGAACAGGTTTAATCACATGAGTGACATGGATTAATAATACAGTAAAAGAGAATACCGTAGACCAGTGTGGCAATGCATGCAACTCAAATGCTACACCTTGCAGCCCACTTAGTAACATCCATTCCTATGAGTAAATGTTCTACTCATTAATGTAGGTAAGGTTGGTCATCTTTTTTATACTGCAAGAATTTATCTAAACGTAATATAAAATTACAATTATTTCGAAGACAATGAGAGATTTAATTAACACAAAAAATAACAACAACCTGTTTTTTTTTAATTATTTCACACCAAGCAAGGCCATAAAGCCACTAAGATGCTAGGGAGGTTACTGAGTGTGAAAGTATATGAGAAAAAGAAAAACATTATTAAGGAGAGAGAACAATTTAAGGACAGGAATTAATCAGAAAATAATGATTGACATTGCATTTAAACTTTTGAAGATTAAACATGACTGGAAAGCAAGAAGCCAGAACAGAGTGCCATAGCCTAAAATCTGAAGGAGAAATTTATAAAATATAATGTAAAAAATATCCTGAGAAATATGTTGAGGAAATATCTAGGAATTTAAATAAAAGACTATATAATCACAGATGGGATGTCTTACAAAATAATGCACTCAATTTTACTTAGGGCAATACATCTGACCATAATGTTAACTTACAGGATGCAGTTTCGGATAAAGAAGAAAGTAATTTATTAAGGTGAAAATGTATTGAAAGTGCACTAATTTCTGAATCTTTTTTTGGTACATTTATGTACAGGATTATACAACATTTCATCCTTCCAAAAAAACTATTTCTATTACAATGGAGGGTATTTTTATTACTCCAAATGTTATTATAGTGGATACTTTGTTTTTGAAATAGATGCTCCATTTTTATTTACTAATCAGTGTGTATTATTATTATGGTCCAGGTTAGGACCAAGGAAGAACAACACGAACACAAGAGTAGAAATAACAAAGGTATATTACACGAAATAATAATACAAGATGTGGAAGGTATTTGTATGACTGTCAGTCTGGTTGGGAGTGAACTACTATCGGCTCGGCTCTATTCGACCCTCTCTCTTGAGAGGCGTAGTATACATAGTGTTAGGAAGAGTTCATTCTGTAGTTATAGGTAAGGACCCATGACAATTATGTATAATGGTCTGAGGATTCAAGAGTACTTAGTAAAGAACCATAATGGATAAAAAATGAGTTTATTAATTCTTTGGAAATTTCTTTGATTGTGTTTAGGAAACTAAACTGAG